GAGAGAGAGAGAGAGAGAGAGAGAGAGAGAGAGAGAGAGAGAGAGAGGAGAGGATGTGAATGAACTCAGTTCCAGGGCATTCTTCCTGCTAGGCTCTACTATATTCTACTGTGTCCTCAGTAGCACCACAGGCCTGCAGCACACGGCCCTTTGCAGGGCATCTGAGATCCAAAGCACAGCCTTACTTCACTTTTACACTGAAATGGCTTAGCAGTTAGAAACACACGCTGCTCTTCCAGAGGACCTGACTTTGGTTCTCAACCACACTAGGATGCTCCCAACTGCCTGCAACTCTAGCTCCAAGGGTTCTCATACCTTCTTTTTGGCCTCTGTGGGCAATGTACTTATGTGCACATAACCCTACAAGATCACACATAATTAAAATGAAGTAAATAGGCAGTTGTGGTGCAGACTTTTAATCTTAGAACTTGGGAGATAGAGGCAAACAGATCTCTGAGTTCAAAGTTAGCCTGGTTTACAGAGCAAGTTCTAGGATAGCCAGGCATACACAGAGAAACTCTGTCTGGAAAAACAAACAAACAAATAAAATCTTTATAAAAAGTGATAAGGATAACACGTATCATAGAAAATTAGTTTTAAATGTTACAGATGTAAGGAACCTACAAGTTTAAGGTAGTACTCTCTTTTTTGTAACTATTACATACATTAAGCAATTCATGATCACTTTATATTTTGTTCTTTGATTGAATTATCATTTTACCATTTTAAAAATCTAGTAGATATAATGAAAGCTCCTTTCACTAGTGAATTCAGGTGAAAGAGAATTTAATGCCTGCATTATGTGTTTTTAGTTAAAGAGCAATATTAAAATGTATTTTTTTTTACCAAAAATTGTCAAAGATTATATGAATATACCATTTTGGGTAGGAAGTTAATCACTGTTTTTTGAGTTTTAAGAATACTTAATTTACACAAACTCTTTTTTTTTCTGTCTGAATCAACTCCAAGAAATTTTGGGAATATCACAGATAGATAAAAGAAAATCGAAGCATAAGTTATATAAACATAGGTTTGTACAATTATGTAGACAGATTGAAATAAAAATCCATAGCCTACATTTAAAGATTTATCCATAAGTCATGTACAATAAAAAACTCAGCCGGGCAGTGGTGGCGCACACCTTTAATCCCAGGCAGATTTCTGAGTTCGAGGCCAGCCTGCTCTACGAAGTGAGTTCCAGGACAGCCAGGGCTATACAGAGAAACCCTGTCTCAAAAAACAAAAAACCAACCAAACAAACAAACAAAACAAAACAAACAAAAAGCCAAAAAAAAAAAAACCCTCACTGATTCCTATAAAGTAGATGGATTCAAATTGTGGTTTTGGCAGATGAAACTGGGTCACTTCCTCAGTGATGCCTGAAATGTTTTATCGATATTTGTCAAAAGGAATTTTATAATTTTTCACTTATTCAGTTGTTTCCAAAAAACTTTACTTTCATGTATCTGAGTGTTTTGCCTGCATGTGTTTGTGTATCACACATATTCAATTCCAAGAGAGGCCAGTAGAGAGCATTGAGTCCCCTGGGAACGGGAACTACCAGGTGAGCACTGGGAATAGAACAGGGGTCCTGTAGTCCTTTATTACGTTTACTTATAGATGGCTTTTTTTTTCTTTAAATGTATCTTATTACAGATACCAACAGAATGTTCATTTTAAGATGAGGGTATTTTGAAAAAGAAAATGCTTTTAGATTTAGAAGGACAAATTTCTTAAGGCTCCCCTGCTTTCGGGCCATTCTAAACCAATAAACCTTTCTGTTGCCAGCCGGGGATCCAAGACATGGCCTCCTAAAGCCTACAGTGGAAGTTTCCCCTTTCCTGAGAACCAGAGTTGCTGCCACGGAGAAACCAATAACTCCTGACTGCATGTGGTGGCACACACATGTAATTCCAGAGGTGGAAGGCAGGACGAGCAGGAGTTCACAGTCTTCCTCTGTTCTACAGTGAGTTTGAGACCATCCTAGGCTATATCAGACCCTGTCTCAAAACAAACAAAATGAGTAAGTGGTTAGAATTGGAAAAATTATTCTAATTGAGGTAGTCAAGGCCCCAAAGGACAAATGCCTCATGTTCTCTCTTCATGTGAGATTTGCTTCAACTCTTTAGGATGCAGTGTCTAATGTGGAGTACCTGTGCAAGCCAGGGAAGGAGGAAGTGAGTAGGGGGAGGGACTGCCTTGGGGAGGTGAGGTAGTAAAACATAGATAAAAAGAAAGATAGGAATACCATGGGATGAAAGAAAAGTTTAGGTGGGCCTGGGGAGGCAGTAGGCCCCTGAGGGAAGCTGAGATTTGTTTGTTTGTTTGTTTTCAAGACAGGGTTTCATGACCTGGAACTCATACTGTAGACCAGGTTGGTTTAGAACTCAGAGATCTCCCTGGCTTGTCTCTAGAGTGCTGCGATTAAAGGCGACTGCCACCCCCACCCATAGGAAGCTGAGTTGTAATGGATAATTAAACTGATATAGCAGCAAACTGCCTTCCATACCTGGACCAGCACACAGAAGCAGTTCCCAGGCTTAATCACAGAACCTTCCCTTATAAGGAATAGTGGCAAACAGAGATTATGGCAGGTCAGGATGCAGATGAAGGCCTTGCCTTAAGCAAGTCAGTTACTCCATCTCCTTAAGGCTCAGGGAACACTTTAGCAGAGAGGGTGGGAAGTATTTAAAGTCTAGAAGATATGATAAAGAACTAGGAAGTGTGATTCTTTAGACTCAGTACAAATACTGTAGCCATTGACTCATGTCATCTGTGGTTACCTGCATGGGCCCACAGGTCCAGCCCTATCCACAGTCAAGGAAAGGGGGGGGGCTCTGAAATACTGCTATTCAGAGATTCTGAGAGGGCAGGAACCATTGTCTCTAGTTCTGAACCCTCTGCCAAGCCCACCAGGCTCCAGTGGACAGCTCTAACCCACAGTCACACAGACGTCTCTGGTTCATATGGATGGGTCACGAAACAAAATTAAAAGATGTGAACTTGAGAGAAAGAGATTCTGGGGACGGGAGAGAGTGGACATCGGTGGAAGGCAGGGGAGAGAGACGAGTGATCAGTATGTAAAGTATACATATGTGAAATTGTTAAAAAATAATTTAAGTTTAATGAATCAATTAGGAATAAAGTAAAATAGGAAGCAAAGGCCTCTACGATCATAAGAAGTAAGAAAACTCTAGTCTCCCTCAGGAGTTTCAGATCCAGTGATCTGAGCAACTGGGTACAGGGATGGGACTGTTTCCAGCACAAACAAAGTCACACAAGCAGAGATAACAGAGCCCCAACTCCCCCATGGGCAGAGCACCTTATTAAGGCAAACTCCAGTGGCAGCTGACACGGTTAGACAAAGGAAATACTACCTGAGCACTCTGTGTCTTGGGTGCCTTGCCTGCCCCCTCACCACCTGATCTGTGACAGCTCAAGCCCGCTCAGCCAGCAGAAACTAGACTGGTTCCAAGAGATTGTGGTGGTTACAGAGCCAAACTGTCACAGCAAAAGATTAAAGGAAAATCTCATCCAGAGTCTGTGTGTGTGTTTTAATTGTTATCCCATAGCAAAGAATCTAAATACATGTGCCATGATCCTATCCATGAAATCCCCAGTTTGTGAGACTGGCTTCATCAGGCTTTGGAGTATGTTTGCACTTTAACTCATGAGTATTCTGATGATGATGATGATTGTTTATTTATTTATTTTTTTAAAATAAGGACAGAGGAAACAGGAGCAAAGGAAAACAAGGGCTTTCTGGGAGGCTAAGGACCAGTGCTCAGAATGCTTACCACCACATCCAGGCGTCGGGAATAATCAAGTCTTACAAATGTTTTTCTCCAGATGGAATTTGGAAGGGAAAAGACATAGCAGACATATCCACCTGGACTCTCCAGACAGAAATCCAGGATGCTGACTTCAGTAAGAATGTGCCTTAAAGACCCAGACTTCATCTTTAGCCTCTGCAGCAAGTAAGGTGTCCCTGCTGGCCCCTAGCAGGCCCCCTCTTCCTTCCTACACGTTCCAACCTGAAGTCTGGAAACCAAACTAACAAAAGATAGACTGATAAGAGAATAACAGTTGAATTATGGACTTACATACTTATCAGAGTTTCCCAAGAAATGAGAAGAAAGGAGGCACCAAGGATGAAGGCTTCTGCAGCATCTTAAGCTAAACAAATGGGAAGGGGCTCAAGGCCTCCGGGTGAAGGGGGCCAGTACTGGGGAGGAGGTGGAAGAGGGCTTGTAGCTGGTAGGGTTGTCTTGTTATGCATATGTGGCTTCCAAAGGGAATTGCCAACTGAGCCGCTCTCTTCCTTTACAGATGTAACGTCCTGAATGTGCATCTCTTTACAAATTTAGACAGTTAGGAAATTCCTCCCAACTAGCTTTTACTGTTGTTAATTAACATCAATTCAAAATGATCATCCTGTCTATTATCATGTACCAGCTAGAATAAATTACTAAGAGGAAGAGAGATTTACTTCAGTGCCTGATTTCAGGTTTCAGTCCTTGGCACATGGGCTCCATTGTTTCTGAGTTGTGGTAAGGCTGAGCATCCTGGAAAAGAGGCAGGAAGAAGGCTTACTGATTAACAGCAGAATGTTCTTTCAGATGACCTGAACTTGATTCCCAGAACTATAATGGGCAGCTTACAACAACCTGTTGACTCCAGTTCCAGGGGGATCCAATGCCTCTGGCTTTCCAGGGCACCTGTACTCAAGTTGACATCCTCCTTATCCGATAACACACACACACACAGAGGTAAAAAGTAAACTTATATCTTCCTAAAAAGGAAAAAGGGGAGAGGAGGATGAAGGAGGAGGAAGAGGAGGAGGAGGAGGAGGAGGAGGAGGAGGAGGAGGAGGAGGAGAAGGAGAAGAAGAAGAAGAAGAAGAAGAAGAAGAAGAAGAAGAAGAAGAAG